CGGTGCCGGTGCCGGTGCCGCTGTCCCCGCGCGGGCTGCACCTCATGCTCCTTTCCCGCAGGGAGAAGGAGCGGGAGCAGCTCTCTGCCTTACGAAAACACCACGAGGAAGAGATCCATCACCACCAGAAAGAGATCGAGCGGCTGCAGAAGGAAATCGAGCGCCATAAGCATAAGATCAAGCAGCTTAAAGATGACTAAGCTGGTGCTGCTCTTGAATGTGCATGGCCAGTGCCGATCGTGGTATAAAACGGCACTGGAGACTGTGTGTTTTGGCCAACGTAATCCAAATCCATCCAATTGTACTGTGGTCTGCAGGAATGTCAAATAAACTACTCAGTCTCACTTTTCTGCTCGGTAACTGCTTAATGAAAACAAAACCACCCTCTGTCATTGTCCTTCCAAAATAAGGACATCCTCTGGAGTAGGCAGGTCTGTACAGGACTTCACTATTGGCCTTGGATTTATTTGAAAGCAATGCCCATCTGTGCCCAGTGAGATAACTCTGCAGTTAAAGCTGCAAGAAGAGTTGGGAGGAAATGGAGGAACCCATTCACAGAGAAATAACTTTGTCCCTGTAGTGACTCCACTGAGCTAGCAGAGGTGTTAAAAATAAGGTTCACTTGTTGCACTTTAGGGACATAAACTGAGGGAGAAAAATACAATTCTAACACAGATGTGACCTATGGTCGTTCAAGTTCCTGGGGCAAGATAGCCAAGATACTTCCACAGGAATGTTCTTTCCATGATGACTTTTAATTACCCACTGGGGTTTTTTTACTGTCTCTAGTTCTCTGTGTTCCTTAGTTAAGTCCCTTTCCAAAGAAGGATGGATTAATTTTGTGCATTTCAGTCACTTTCTGTGACTTTAATGTAAGAAATCCATCATAAAACACACAGCAATTGACCTACTGAAATAGTGTGGCCTTACAGCACTAAGCCCTGACAAGAAGGGGATTTTCTGTAATAGGGATGGGCAGGTAAGAAAACAGCCTTTCCTTCCACACCTGCACTGTCCTATGTGTAGATCTGTCTGGCCAGGCAGATTTGCAGCACAGGTGGAATCAGTGTGTGCTATGGGGGTGACCTGGGTGGGTATGTGCCTGGAACTGCCCTGGCTGAGAGAGCAGGAGGCAAGTGGTGCCTTTGATGTAGAAAGTTGTTTGCCAAGGGTGTGACTGGCTGGCTGAAGGTGTCCCAGTTTCTCCTGTTATGTCCCCGGTCAGCTGCTCCTCTTGGGCCACTTTCACCCGAGGAACACTGCAGGTGGTGGTTTATCTTGTCTCGGAGTAAGTGACAGCACTGTCACCCTGATGCCCTTAGAAGCTCCTCTGATGAAGATGTCACCTCTGTGAACAGCCCTGGAGGAGAGGCTATGCTTTGTGTTTAGTCCATGGGAGATGGTGTTGGGTTGGGCTGTGCTGAGGTTGTATACAGAGCTTCTCTCTGGGCTTTGTCCCTTTCAGTCGGGGCTGATTGATAAAATTTTAGCATCTGCCCCTCCCCACCTCCCTGAACCTGGTGGGAAGAACTGTGTCATGAAAAGCAATATACAGGTTTAGGTTATAGCACTTTAAAAATCCAAATTTTTGCCCATTTGGGAATTTTTTGTCTATACTATCTGTCAGCCTGTCAGACTTCCCCCAAAAGCTGTGGAGTCACTAGTGAGATGTCCCCACTGAAGACCAATTTCTTGGCATCACAGCTACAGTGGACTATGGAAGAGCTGAAACAGATCTTAGGACAACCCTGTATGCTGTATGATGAGGGTCTGAATTCACAGCTCTGTGATTTACTCTGCATTTTTGTGCACCACTGAAATTCTAACCATGCCATGTAAGCTGAGACACAGAACCTCTGCCCAAGTGGCTGCAAGGGGGGAAATTTGCTGTGAGACTCTGGTAGTGCTGTGACTTGGGCCTCTGTGATCTACCTTGTCACAGGGAGAGGCATTACAAACCCTCTGGAGTCCCCAGTACCTTGCTACACTGCAGAGCTTTCTTGCCCATCAGCAGTGTCTGAAACATCTCTCTTTGATCATGTTGCAACTCCACCACCTTCATGGGGCTCCTACCCTGGTAGATGTGCTGGTCCCTTACCAGTGTTCAGCAGCCCACACCACTTTCTGGAGAGGAACAGCCAGTGACCCTGCCCTCCTGTCAGGGTATGGCAGTGGAAGGACACACAAGACATGCAGCTGTAGGTCTGATGGAGCAGTTGTGCTGGGAGAAACTCCTCTCAGCAGTGCTCTGACTGGCACTCAGTGGTTACAGGGCCCACAAACTGGCTGCTGGAGAGGCTGAATGGATTAAGGATGCTGCATAAAGCAGAGGGTCTCCCTCCTTCTGGCTCCTCTCCTCCCTTCCACTGTCTCAGGCATGTTGGGGGAGTCGTTCAGCCTGTTACCTCAGCAGCTGGTGTTTTCCTTCTGAGCCCAGGGGATCTTTGCTAGGTTAGCAAGGTGAATGCCTTCTGGAGTCCAAAAGTGCAGGGTTTGTGGTGTCTTCTCCTACCCCTTGGCAGGCCCTTTGCTAAATTAGAAAGGTCTCTACTTTTATCCAGCTGACATGGGAACTGACTTTGCAGCCATCCTCCCACCAGGAATCCCACTTGGCTGTGAACACTGGTGCCTTAGGTAATGTCTGATCAATTTGTCCTCAGGATGAGGTTTCTTTACTGTGAACAACCCACTGACTTCCTCTTCCAGGGGGTCCCAATAACCTAAATCTCCCTGAAACCCGTTTGCTGTAGTTTAATGCTGGTGACACCCTGGCTGTTCCACAGGCCATCCACACAGGCATGACTTTATTTGGTGGTGCAAATATCTCTACCTAGCAAAAGTCCCCTCTCCTGAACTTGTCTCCTGAAATCACCTCACCCACTCACCTCTTGCACTGACTCCTGAGTTGTCCAGGTGCAATTCTGTGAGCAGCTTACAAGAGCTCCCAGCACCCCTGGTCACAGCACCTCAACCCTTTTCTTGTGTTGGTTCTGGTGCTCATTAAAGCCTCAGACTCAATTGCAGAAATGGCTTTTCCTATTCCCTGAGGTTAGCAGGAAAAATGAGTTTCTGTAGTGTCTGATCACTAACAACGGTGGCTCAAGGTAAATGTTCAAGGGGGACCTCTGTTTTTTGGCAAGGGAGATGTTAAATCATCTTGTTTTGTATAGTTTCATCATCAGTGCATCTCTTCAGAAGTGGGGTTTTTTCCCCTTCTATTGAACTTTGAAGTGTCTCTGCAGTAAGTTACCAAATGACATGGATGTTGCTTGCTTCTGATCCTGTGGCACAGCAGTTACACGTGAATGTCCTGGGTCTGGGGGGTGTGACCAAGGATTTTCTCCCCATTGGAGTGAGAAGTGCAATAACACCAATTTGCAGGCTTGTAACGTGTTTTTTTCTGCAGCTCCTCTGACAGTGCTTATGATAAGAACCATAAGAGATGCAAGACATCTGAGTCCGAGTTGCAGACAGATCTCTTACCAGAAGTATTTCAGCTACGAGGTAGCAAAAATGCTTAAAGAGAATTTAAGATACATTTGGTCTGACAGATGTTCCATCCCAGGGTTTGGTGTTCTGGAGATCACTGCAGCAGCACAGGGCTCCTGACAAATGACATGAGCATTTGTGTGAGCTGCAGCAAGCTCTACTTGGGCTCAGCCACCACTTCTAGGGTCATGGATGGAGAGGTGCCAGCCAGGGACAGTTGCTGCAGGACTCCAGAACAGGAATGCTGGGGAGTAAAACAAGATTACACCTCAGACCTTGGTGCCTGCTGTGAGGTTAAGAAGGCACAAGCTGTCAAGAGACCTGCCTGGGACTCCCCCTCAGTCCAGTGCAACTCAGAGGACAGGGCTCCGTTGTCTTTTGCAAGCTACGAACTGCCAGCTACCCCCAGGAGTTCTGGTGCAGAGCAACCAAACCCCAAAACTGATATCTGAAAGGCTGCAAGGACAGCACTGAACTCGGGTGGGAGCCCACAGAGGAGCTCATTGTTCTGGGTTTCCTCAATGGCTCTGGAATGGCATGACCAGCCCCCCACCCCCAATCCCACAGGCACAGGGGCACACAAAGGAATGGATTCTTCCTGCCAGCTCTGCTGCATTCTGGTTATTCACTTGTTCCTCAGGGCTGCACTGACCTGGTTCACAACTCCCTGACTCACCACAGCCACCTACAGCACAGCTCCATGGAGAAGGAGCTTCACTTCTTGAGTGCAGCATTTATGTCTTAATGAGGCATTTATCCTTCCTCACTCCAGATCCTCTGTCCACACTGTGCTTCTACAGGCCATGGCCCAACACTGCTTGGCCACTGCAGGAGCAGCAAAAGTGCACAGAAATTGCCAAGAATCCTTGGCTCAGGGATGGGGACAGAAGTGACAAGAAAGGAAAGTGAGATCCAAGACCTTTAGCAATCTGGTTTGAGTGCAAGGTGCCCAGTTGGGTCTCTCTGGGTCTTTTTGTCATGCTTGTCCTCTCCACTCCAGAGCAGATAAGGGGAATGAGGCAGGACAAAAACAAAGCATATACATATTTTTCCCCAAAATGAAATGCCCTGGCTATGTGTGAGGCAAAATAAGCACATGCACAGTGGAATACCAGCAGCATGACCTCTGTAGGCAGAAACTGTCCTGCTGTAGAGGCAGTGGAACACTAGAACACACTGAAAATGTTCATGAAGTTCCTCACTGATAAGTAAAACCTGAAGATTAAGACAAACCTCCACTCCCTGAAGCCTGGGCTTCAGCAAACACATAAGGGCTGCACACAGAGCACCAGAGCACGAGGTGTCTGCTGGAGGCAGGCACATCACCCCGAACTGTTGCAGACGTCACTGTAAATGTCAAGACACAGGATATGTGACGATAGCAAAACTTAAATTCCAATTTTTTTTCATCATTTCTACAGTGCTTCTTTTATACTCTTTTTCACACACTGTGTACACACCATGTTAATTACCTATTGGTCAGTGATGTGGTAATGCTTAATTTATTGGTTAGCAGTTGTTTATATGTGCCCTCATTAACTATTCCAAAACATTCTTTTCGACATCTTCTTCATTCCTCTCAGGATGTTTGCCTCGTTATTCTTACAAACTACAGACTACAGCAGAATCAACTGTCATCTTGCTGCTGATGTGGACACCAAGGACCTTCAGTGCAAGCCTGGAAGAGGAGTGGCAGACTGACAGGAACAGG